GTAGCTCAAACAAGTGCACCAATATAGCACAGTAAGTGAAGTTAGGCTGAAAATGAAACGAAAGCTTCCCGTTTCATGTAAGATTTGCATATCTGTAGCGCCATAAACATTGACAGCGGTTACTTCATCTGACTACGAAGACAAGCCTGGGTGTTACTGCCTGGCATGTAGCCTGTCTAAGTAAATTAATGTTTTCACTAAAACATTAATTTACTTAAATCAACCATGTGTGCTTCAACGCGCAAATGAAAACTTTTGAAGGACAATTTATATAGGAGCGAAGATTCCGAATAAGTTACAGGTACGGATTAAAGAAATCAAAGTGTTATCGAATATGATATCAACGACACTGTCGATGTGAGTCGGAGTGGGATTGAGAAATGATTGTCAGAACGAAGTTTAGATAATTAAAACAAGAGCTTTTTAATTGTCACGAATATATCCGGCTAGATCAGTGCGCTGTTCAGGGAACTTTCAGATGAAACCAGACCCCAACGGAATAAAATTGGTGACCCCAGCTGTAGAATATCTACCACGTTAGTTGCCGACATCGACGGTAAAACCCAAGTCCTTGATTATTCAAATGTGCGTAAACAAACAATCGTCGTAACAAGCAGAAGCACCTGCCAGTAACCCAGGAGGGGTAAATTGTAACGGGTGCTTGATTGTTGCTTCTGAACTCAAATCCAGCGAAGTACTGGGAAAACCAAATCTATAATATGGATTACAGAATTCAGTTTTCCCATTATGGGCTAGTTTGACTTGTCATAAAAACGAAAAGCGTCTACGTACTTTCGCATTTAAGAAACCCGTGTGGTGCAGTGAAAGATAATGGTGGAAGAATTGACAGCCACGGAGCGTTTGTCGTCAACGTGTGATGGTTAACCTGACAATTGGATTTTATATAGGCCCTATGACATAGCGGGTAGAAAGATATCAAGTTAAAGGATTTTTTCTCAAACAGTTATTTGTTTTCAAAGATACGATTACGATTTATACTAAAATGATAGACATTGGAATCTATTTATTGTCCCGAAAGGTTTATCACCAAAAAGTACAAAATTAAAACGAATGCTGACGAAACAAATGAAACTGAGATGACCATTACGGACTTATTAATCGCGACCAGCCAGCCATACCCAGCCACAGGTTTGGATAACCCATAATTCGTACACACACTCCTTGTTCATTGGGCGACCACATACCGTGGCATGATTAAAGAATGGCGTTTCATCGATAGTTCATATTTCGAACCATTTCCTATACTTCCAACAACCGTGGAATTCAGGTAATAATCATTTGTCATCCAGATCTGGCGTTGGCTGCTGACCGCTGAGAAACCACAAGTGGCCCCTCCAGTCTCCCTTGTCTTTATTGGTATTCTTTGGTAATATATATTTATAAATTTGATAATCAGATATTTTAAAGTCAAAAATCCTTTCAAGGGTTTGGTGAGGTTGACAGGTGAAGGTTAATTAGTTAAAATGGCCATCCTAGTGTTCTTTTTTCCTTATGAAAACCCCCCTTATGTGTATCTATTAATGGACGCTGTGCAACTACCTGCACGTGCCCTAGACTGACCTCCCAGGCGAAACGGGGCAGGCATATCCAGTAACCTGACCGGTAAAAACACCTTCAGTGATAAGATAAACATCTGCTGATTGGAATTTAAAGGACCTTTCCCTCTGATAGACCTTAAAATATACTACTATCTTGAAAATAACTAGTACTTATACAATAAGCTCCATAGTTCTCAAGGTTTGAACAAAATGACTAACACTTGTTGACTGTACTTGCATATTTTTGGTACGCGAAGAAGTGTGTGCCTAATGAGTTATCATACTACTATTTTTAGGGGTTTTGACAACCGCTTATTAGGAGGCGCGTGTGGTAACATAGTACAACGGGCAAGCAGATCGTCGGTTTCAAACCCGCTACCTCGCACATAACTGTGCGAACGTTTTCTGGTTCAATCAGTATAAGTCAACTCTACTATTCACCTACGGACTGACTTTCGATCACCATTTGATCCACTGAATACTACTCATTCTTATGCTGAATCACAACTCATACAAAGGAGCAAGGCAAGGACGGTCACTGGTGGTAAATTTTGAGAGTCTGCGTGCTTCAAATGTCATGTAGTCTTTTATTGCGCAAGACAGACCGTTTACCTCTATAGGCTGCTCAAGTTTGTTAATTTCTCTTGGCTTCTCCGTACCCTTCCTGATCTGTTCTTGATCGTACAGGCCAAAGCAAACAAGTATTCCAAATGTGCAAATTTAAAGTGTTGAAAGACGCGTAATGCAGAAGTTAAGCCAAATGCACTGTAACAGCCTCTATAATTTCATTAGCCTCAAATGTCGCAGCTGCGTAAATCGGTACCTGCTGCTTCCTGTCTTTTGCGTCGTAAACGTAGTAGTTTTTTGCAATTTCTTCTCCATTCGGGAGACTGAAAAAGAAAGACACATTAGCCGAATAATACCTTACTGATTATGCAAACGAGAGGCTGATTCCTCAATTATCGAACGAAATGTTCTGCGGAAGGATTCCACGAGAAAGACTGAGAGATCAAACTATTCGTCTGCATTTATTTTGGTCGGATGTATCAACTGTTTGCTCCTAAAATTTGCAATAACGCTCTTTATTCTTAGTCACATAGGTTGTTTATGTCGCGAAATCCAGCATTTTTTTCACAAATGAGCCACTCTGGCCTCTCAACTAGCGTACATTTGAGGTTAAGCATGGAAGCTGTGAATATAATTATTAACGAATTACGGTAAAATGTACTGGGCTGGAAAACGACAAGTTGATATAAAGGCTTGGGAAGTTCCAGTTTAGTTTTCCATCAGGTGTTAGATTTCAGGACAAACCGTAAAAAGGGAGTAAAAGAAAGATGCCATGGATGACTTTCGGTATGACAGAATAGGCTAAGTACTGTACGTCTACTTTAGTGGATATATTCGTGACTATATCGCACAAGATAAGCAGCGATATTCTGGTCACGGCCCGGGAGTAATCTGTACTCTGATGAGCTAATGATTAAGGACACGAAAGTGTCAATATTCCATTCTTAAACTACTAGAGCTAAGGCAACCGCAGGTGGGAAAAGTCGCCAATGTGTCAATATCTAGCCCTTTTTGATGGGCCAAGGGAATACAAACCCCCTTATTACATATGCCCTTACACTGGATTTCACGACGGCTGAAGTTGGGATTGGGGTTTTTAGTAAGGTGGCGAAGATTGGTGTTAGTACTAGGGTAAGAACACGGGCATAGGTAAGTCCCGATAATTAAATGCAGGGTTACCTAAAGTCCGGGATCCTTGCTTCGCATCCCGCCTCTCTTTTGAACACAATAAGAGTCTTCGTGTTCAAAGCGGCAAGCCGTTAGCCTGCCCTTGGCGTTAGTGGTCGTCAAAAAGATGTTTTCGTTACTAAAATTGGTTGTTTTTGGTACTATGCCTGATGTTATAGTTACTACTACCTTTCTCGGAATTACGGCAACCGAAAAAGATATTCGGAAAACCCCTACTGCCAGCTGCCCAATCCGTACATACATACATCGCGCGGTTGCTTCCTAATATGAAGACTATCTGAAATTATGATCTGAATCTGGAACCGATCAGTTTACATGATGCCTCTTCACCGATTTGTGTGGATTTTAGCTACTTCGTTTTAGTTTTAATGTATAATGGCGAACATATGACAATTTGCTTTCTTCCTTATTGACAGAGACGTGCAGAGGGAACATCCCGAAAAGTTTAATTACTAACTCCTAAAGAGATAAAACTGTACGATTACGCAATTTTTTGATTCGTAGTATTTCTTTCGACCAATGGACAGCCCGCTCTGTCAAGCAGCTTTCGAAACTGACCTGAGTGCAAACCGACGTCTATGAAGCGTTTGGCTAGCACTTTAGTAATTCCTCTTTATCTTTGTTGGCCTTGCTTTCTGCTGTTCGCCGTTTTTGGCTTAAGAACAAACGTAGAACTCTACTGAAATTCCCCTCAGATAAAGGCCGGCCTAACAGGACAGACTCGTGAACTGCCGTCTGGTGACAGAAGCAAAGAAACGGCAGATATGCACTCGCAACATCTTCACCCAGAGACAAGACGCCACTTTCTACCTCAACGTTTGTAAAAAGCGAAAGCTAAAACAAGGGGGGACAGAAGCCGTTGATTTAGTCAACAAAAAGAAGTCCGAGACCGCCGAGTCTTTCAGGATGAGTCGGGTGAATTAATCAAATCTGCCAAAGACACCTATTGGAAAATGTCAGTCCCTATCAGGCTATAGTATATGTAATGGCAGGGTCGCTGGTCTGAAAATAACATGGTCGAACTCGCTTCTTCTAAAATGGGCAAGCAAGGTTGAGGTTCTCGTTCATCTTACATACACTCATCATCCAAAGATGCTAAACGAATCAGCTTCTAAAGACTAACAGAACTTAGGTACCATGATCTGCCCTCTAAAAAATAATTCACTGTGTCAAGATTGGCCTACCATGAATTTCTACAAGGACAGTCGTGCTGTTACCAAGTGTGTTCAGGTAGAACGGAGAATACGTGATTCGCACAGTTGTTTTTACACAATATTGGACTTATGAGCAAACCAAATGCCACTGCGAATTCTGGAAAATGTTATTAATCGAACTTTTAAGGTCATTAGGCTTACGCGTCATGGTGCTGCTCAAAACATTTACCTTGAACAAAGCTCTCGTGATTGCACAAGTGACCCTGTCTTAGTTTTATAGCTGTAATTCACAATCACTCAGACGGTTCTAGAGTCATAAAGCAAGCAGGTAGAGAGAGGGCAGGTGGATTTGTGCAGACCTATGTGTAGCTGTGTTTGTTTCTGTGCATACGACGGCTTTTGATTGGCTAGTCACTTAGTGACTCAAGGCTTTTCTTGTAGGCTGTATCAGCGCGGCACTTAGAGGAGAATGATTGCCTTAAATATGCAAGAAAACAGCCTGAGTACATAGAAAACAGTTTAGCGGAAGGAAATGCCAGCAGACATCTCAGACGCAGGGCCAATCGTTATAGACACTGGCACTCATCAATGGAGGGCGGGTTTCGCAACCGACGAAAGTCCGAAGTGCGTCATTCAACCCTCCTCAGAGCACGTTGAGGATGTGAGTCTGCTTCTAGAATACATTTAATAAAGTAACTTTAATGTTTATGGTTCGCATCGATAATTTTTAAAAGACTATAATTGCCTCCCTCTAGATAAAACATCACGAGTCATCAGTAAATTAAAGTGCAGTAGGTAGTTACGTAAAGTAAACCAATCATTTTAACAACATGATGCACTTTGAATGTCATTTCGTACTTAGCTGTCTGCTTTTGTGTGGTGATCCGTAGTTTAATGAATAAAATGACGTTCTGTTGAAAGTTGAGAGGTGAAATTCTGGTGTCAAATAATGGAAGTTACAAATTTTACAAAACACGATAAACCGCAGGGACTCATGTTTTTTCCTGTATGCTCTAGGGATGTAAGAGGCTAATCATAATTTCCATTACCCTTTTGGTAATATAAAGATTTGTAGCGGATCTTTTTCATTTACCTGTTTTCGTTGTTTTTTGGAAAAAAACACCATTAAGACGAAAGCATGCAAGAATGTCTTTCACATCTATCGGTCGTAGGTAGGACGAGAATTCGAAAAAGAGGACGCCGGAGCCATAGCATTAGCCTTGCATTTTACGTTTCCAAGCTTAGTCTATTCACATACGGCAACTTGCAGGATATCCAGTTAGGCCTAAAATATGAACTGATCAAGTGTCTTCTGCAAGGCTTGCCGTCGAAGGAGATAAAGTAGTATTACTGCTCAAACACAGTTTGAAAATTTTTTGAAGTGCAGGATAGAATATACTCGCCGGAGGTTACGTAGCTTTCCCGATAGAAAAGATTTGGACTTTTTGGTTTCACAAAGGATATATACAAACTAATCACCTCAACAATATTCGGAAAATGGGTGATTTTACTTGAACGTTGATTTGTTCTTTATTCTAGTGCTAGCTAAAAGCTCAAACACGTTTTGTCGGCGTTGTGCCTATGTGTGACGCAGTTGAGAGGCCTCCTGCCTATCGGCGAGTCTCTCACCCTTACCATCATGGTTCCTTGATATTTTCCTGTGCTTAATATTAGGCCTTTTGGTGTTTATTAAATCAGCGCATGCACTTAGAAAGATCATTCGACACAAACCTTTTTGGGTTAGATCAAGGGATTTTCTAAAATTTCGTTTGACTTTTTTGTGGAAACTAAATGTTTACTTATGGTTTTATCTGGTTTTCTAAGTAGTGAAGGTGAGCCCTAAAGTTGGATACACGTTCCTCATAACATTCACAAACCAAAAGTTAGTTTTGAGCGCAATTAAGCTGTGTTTTCTGCTACAACGGAGGTGCTGACGTATTCTCCCACAATAAGGACTACTTTATGATAAACAACGAATTCACAGGCATTTTCAGCTGCGAATAAGGCATGCCAAGTTTACATCCAGTTATCGACAAGGGGTTTGTGGTGGAAAATAACAAAGTTCTAACCGACTGCCCTAGCAGTCAGGGGTTTCTGCAGGCGTAATTCCCACAGAATCCCAAATATCTGAAATCGGAGTCCCAGTTGTGAACCATAGGTCTGCCCCGTCAGGCAGACCGATCCTACCTAACCCTCACCGCTTACAAGAAGTCAATCGAATTAAATCGCAAATTCACGTGAGTCCCACATTCACGGCGTGACTCACATCCGTGTACGCGACGCGCCGTGCACACCACCTTACCAGTCGACAGACGGAGGTTGAAAATACAGAGAGCAACCACTAGAACAACTGCCCCACATACAAATAACTTAATTCTGTTTGCGCAGAAGGACACAGTCTCTGTGGGTTTTTGTGAAAACTTGCTGCACCGTCATGTTGATGTGAAAACGAAGTGAAACAGACTGTAACCAAGCCAGAGACGTGCCTTGACGGCCTGATACAAGACAGGATTCTGCACAGGTCACAAACTTCACAGGCTGCGACATGGACAAATTCAGTCCATGTAAGCAGTGGGCTGAAAGAACGTAGTCCGTATTTCCAAATCACTGGGGAAAGTCGAAGATACAAGTCTTTTGAATACACCTGAAGGGTATATCAGTGTACCTTTTTATGGCACCGTGGAGGCGTTCGTCATAGCGCGCAAGATAAAGACAATGCTTCTTTACCGATTCTTAGAAAAGAACTGTAACTCCTCTATTCATGAACATTTCGAGTGGAAACCCGAATTACCAAAATAGCTTGGCAGCTGGCTCTAAACCTCTTCGCTCTTGTCCTATAACAACGAAAGCTGACATCACGACGCTTAGGGTTCGTTTTAACGACTATGGTTGCGAGTGAGAGTCGATCGGCGGAAAGACCAACCTTTTTCTTCGGACTTTTAACACACACACAAAACCCCACATTCGGAGGACTACAATGTCAATGAGCATTCTGAAAAACAGCAATCATCGGTGGTTGAACAGAAACAGGGAACAGTTTTACCAGTTGCACTACTATAAACGAGAATCCCCCAAGAATAGATCAGAATCTCTAAGGTCCTCTGCAAGGGGCAAGCATAATATACTTTAAGAATTACTGGAAATATTTTTCGTATGCATTGGCGTGCTTTGGTAGACTTTTGATGGTGTGCCGATTTTTACTTGAATATAGCATATTTTTCACACTCCGTTGCAGTGTGCCGGAAGCTGTGGGTGCCGATCTAAACTCCTCTACCTTCAGAATGTCTTTCTGTTAAAACCGTAGAAACTCGCAAGGTCAGGATTTAGCGTTGCCGTATACTGAAAAATGGTTCTTTAGAAGCGTCTAACATAAAAATGCGAAGAACATACGACTTACGTCCTGCTGAATGTTTCGTTCGCGGAAAACACAATTTTTCATGAGATGTTCGAACGAAGCTAGCTTGCTAAAGCATTTTTAACAATCTAAAAGTACCTGAATTTTAAAAATGAACCATCGGAATGTCACCCCGTCATATTTTGTGGATTTATCTGGGGCACATGGTTCCTTAACCTATCCTTGAGTTGTATTTCGTAATTTGAAGTTTTTCGTTAACTGTATCCTTATGGATTTCGATTGTTGTCGGCTGAGACACCTGATTATTAAGTATGACGCGTCACACCTTTGAAAGACAGTTCAAGGACATTGCTGATTCGACAAAAAATTAGCCTTTCTTTCAACCGACGTTATACCGATGACAAATGTGTGTTGTCAAATGGCATTTAGAGTGCATGTCAGTGCAGTGAGCAAGGGCTATGAGCTATTGCGGTAATTAAAGTCGCCAATGATTGCAACGTTCTGCTTACATAGCATTCTGCTGTGGATCAGCAATTGAACAAACATAAACAGCAAAAATGAATACAGTGCTACTCAAATGCCAGTTAGGGAGTTTTTTAACGACAGGCGTCAGATTCCATTTCGGACCCCCGAAATCATAAAATGTGCTCGTAGGCTCCCGTCAGACGCCTCTGGTTGAATCGACTATCAACGAGGTCCCAGAGATCGTCCTTATAAATAGCAGTATTTAAGCCCCCATGAATACTAGGTTAAAAAAACATGCAACTCCAGTTGAGGATCACAGTTGCTAGCGTATGGCGGCTTAAGGCAGAGTCATATAAAGTATGGTAAGTAAGTCAGTTTCAAATTCTATTTTCAAAAGAATAAACAACATGGCTGAAGTCTTAAACAGTGAAGCTGGTGCAAATAAGTTCTCAGGTTGAGGAGGGAAAGAACATTTCGGAAAAATAGAGTGTTCAAAGGCTTTCTCAATGGTTGAAATATTTAGTTCAGTTGCAATTGCCAATTTTTTTCACAAGGCGACCTATAAAGCACGCCAAAGGCCCTAACTAACGATTTGCGGAATGCATACATGTTTACCAGAAGCCCTTGCTATATTCTACAAGGCAGTAATATGCGAGTTTATGTTGATATAATTTCATAAAACGCCATACCGACAGGCAGTAAACCGGCTGAGACAATTCTGCGTTGCGTGCTATGCATATTTCTTGCCAACACGTTTTGTCTGCTTTTTCGACTTGTATTTTGGCCACACAGCCCACAAGTTTACTCGAAGTAGCTGAAGACAGAACAGCAATAATTTGATTGTCTTTAAGGAGGGTAATAGGGATCTGTTTGAATTGAAACCGCGGTCAATAGTAGATGCCGGTGTCTGGTAAAATGATTTTCATTAGTCGTGGACAGCGTAATACCCACCGTTAACGAAAGGGTAATGCAATCTAAAGCTGTTTCGGTGGGATTTGTTCCTCCGATTACTCTGTCAGACATTATTTTGCGCGTAAGTTTGACTCACTTGTCCCAGGGAACTGATGTTCTACCAAAACAAGTAAAAAGAGAGAAACCCTGGGACAGTCATCGCTGAAACCTTCGTAAGCCCTTGCCACTGGCCCACAAAGGATAGTCCAAAAGATTTTGTTGTGTCTGCAGGAATACCAATATGTGAGTAGAATTGCTTGACTTTTAGTGATAATGTTCACTATATTATGCCCTCCAACTCTTGTGCGCAGTAATACACGTTGCATCAGAAGGTCGAATATGTTCGTCTTCGTATAAATCTAATATTTTAAACGGACGGGACAAGAAATGAAAGTATAACTACGACAGTTAGAAACATGTTTTCGTGCTAGTTATCGCATACTGATTTGCCAAGTTTACTTACGAGAGTTGGGATCAGTAGAAGCTGGAATGCAGGCATTTAGTAACCTAACGAGTGTGTTGTGTAGGCTTTCGTGTTTTGGTTTGAAAGACATGAAGTTGGTTTTAATTCTGGATGTTCCTTTCTCAGACATGTTCTCCTACCAGACGGAGGGCCTAGTCTTGAATCACTATTGTAGAAAAAATCCTTCATTTAAAAAATGGAAAGGAAGCCACCTCATCATCCATTATGCGGACCGCACAACGCTTTGGGCAAATTGTGACAGAACTGCTTGAAACCCAGTCGACTTTTACAAGTTATAAATCCATTACGTGAGCCTAGTAGTCATCTGGTGGATTCTAGGTGAATTACTTAGGAAATCCTGCTTGGGCAGTCAACTTACTGTATCAGATTTGGTGGATTCCAGACGTTGCAGTAGGTTGGGCGGGTAATTTGACCCAAGTGTGATAAAACTCGCGTCGTCCGGCGGGGCCTCGTAGCTCAGGTGGTTAGAGCGTTGGCTGTACTAAAGCCTTCCCCCTTACTGCGTGGGTTCGAATCCCACCGAGGCGCCGAGTTTTTCACAGTTGGGTCAATATGAATTATTCAAAATCTGCCAAAATATCAATGAACTTTATGTTTATCATTCCAGCAACTGTCACCCGCTTCAAATGTGCATCATGGTTGTCATATCTGTGTCATCGTCTCCAATCAGAGGAAACTGTGTGTTCAGCAAGGTCTGTCTTCAAAGCTCATACCTTCGCTAGATAGCGTTTCAGGGCTCTGTAGGTCGTGCAGAGCTCTCTAGACTGATCAAGCTACTCGTGTTTGTGATAAAACCGCAAATTTGCCTTTCATTCACAAAATAAATTGTCTAGTTGATCAGTTTAACCATCAGCACCTATCACCAGATTATTTGTTTTTGAGTAACCAGCTTAAAGACTATTATTACTAAGCAGACAAAACGGCCGCCATTGTGGTCGTGTTCGGTGGCTGATGTTCCTTTTTTAAATGTCATAAGGCCTTTGGTAGAAGAGTAGGCTGTTCATAACAAACAGCTGGTTGAGCGGTTAAACCACCGAAGGCAGGGGATACGGACAAGTAGGCAGACTCAGGATTATCTAACACCCTCTTCAGCCACAGCCACGCGAGACCAACGTCTGAGATAGGAAACTCATCCTGCACATGTTGATATATAGCAACTACTTACGCATGATTTTACAGTAAGTGACCTTAATCATGAAATGTGTCAACATTTACGAATGATTGCTAATCATTCGCAAACCGACACCATTCCATGAATCCAATGTCTATGTTAATTATGTACAAGTTTAAAAGAATTAAAAACACAAAAGAAGTAATAAAAGCAGTGTTGCGATGTTTAGAAATGTCGATTTATTTTGATGTGCGCAATATCCCAAAAACGTCAGAAATGGCTCTAATTTATTAAACTTCGTTTTTAGATGTATAGAATGTATTCTCATACCAAAAACGTAGTAAACATGAAAGTAGAAATATGACAACGTCTAATAATAGTGTTTCAGTGAAGTTAACATGTAAGTATCGTTTAATAATTAGTGTGACTTCATAGATGACGGTTTGTCAACTGCCTACATTCTGAGTGTAGATTCCAAGACAGTTTTCCAGGGATTCGTGTTATCCTTGACTCGTTTGAGTTTAATGAGGAGGGGTTCAACAAGAGAAACTGGATTTTCCTTGCTTTCACCGATGGGGACATCGTAGGGACGAATGTTTTCATAAGGTGACATGCTGTGAGGCCGGTCGGTGCCTAATAAATTTAAATAGAACTGACAGGCGTGATAGTGTCTATAGAGACAACTTTTCTTTCGTTAAATTAATTTACGCTTTTCCTTCGTTTTGGATTACGCTGAGTTTCAGATCGGCCTCGAAATGCTGTTGAATACTTCCTAATTTTCAGTCTTTTCACCCGATCGTCCATAAATATCGATCCTGAATTATCTGTCTGTTAAGAACTTTAAAAATATGATTATTCTCGAAGGTATTTACCGAATTATTGTGTTTGGGCGCTCCTTTTCACGAAGATGGTCGTTTGAGCCACATGTAAAAACTCATTCACACATTACACTTCCTTATCGAGAAACGTGGCTGCCAACAACCAAAGTTAGCAAGGAATATGCATTCGATCAATAACAAAGCTTTCCTTACCAAGTTACCTCTTTAGGAGGTGCCTTAATACCGCACTCCGTTGACGTATCTCTGTGTACTTTGATTTTTGCACGCTGAGACCAAATAAAAATTTGACACTTTTGGCCGTTTCTCTTACGTTCTTTAACAGTGCTTATTCTTTTCTACCGTAAACGGATGATCATGTCTTCCTCTATACAGCGGCGATTTCCACTGTTTTTGCTCGCCTTTAGACTCCGTTCTTCGATTATGAGTACACGGCAGAGCGCCCATATAAATACTGATATTTTTCTGAAACTGTTACTGTTTTGCTCGTTCTTTTTCCGAATAAGATGTGCGCAAAAGCTAAACTACACGACAAGTAGTGTTTTATATGTTCAAGACTGGAAATGACCATTCGGTGGTGGTCATTTATGTGACATCAGGTAGAATTTTCCAAACGGCAAAACAATTTCAGCCCATTTAAACGAAGGAATCCCTATCTGCGTTATCACTGCGCTTTAGGGCACCTAATCACACAGATCTGCTATTTCAACATTTAGAAATTGATAGAATTTCTGGTTTTTTTAAAATAACCTTTGTGTTAGCAGGTTGATAACCATGGTTTACATCAGACATAAAATAAATTTTAAAGTTCAGCTAAATCTGTGTATTAAAGCTCTCGTAGGTAACTTACAATCCTTCCCATGAAAATGCCGCTTAGATGCGTAACCGGAGTCTAGGACATGTATTAGCATAGGAAATTGCACGACTATATTCCAACGTCCATTTTCACCAAAATTTACTGATATGTTTTTGATATAATTACGCAAGCACAAGTTCTGCACAAGAAAAGGACATTTCATTGAAGGCTGTGGATGAGTGAACAAAGTGCGCAACGTTAAAGACGTCCAGAAATCCTCGCATCAGTTTCCGTTACCAGATTTCATGAGATAGGTCACGTACTGTATGTATGCTTCACAATGAAAACAGTGGTTATGTATGATGAAGCTTTTGAAATCTACAATCAGTGACCAGTTTTATGAAACGTTAGGGGAAATTCTGAAGAGCATTTTCGACTAGGAAGGTTTATATAAGTGAGGTTGTAATTTCGATCACCTTGTGGCCTATCCTCGCAATACTTCCGACAAGGCGGGATGTACTCTTTAGAACGCATTCCTTTTCGGCAAGCTGCGAAAATCGCATTCGGTCACATAATGTAGGTTATAAGGAGGAGAGTAAAAGCAAGTGAATTTTCTAACAATGTCCTTAGGAGTGTATATGGATCAGCATCGAACTAAGGTGGCGCACACCCGTATCATTCGACACTAGAGAACAAAGCGCTTTGGCCCTCCGCAGGCATTAATAACGATTATTCATGTATGTTTTGGCAGATTTTTAAATAATTCATATTGACCCAGTTGTGAAAAAATCGGCACCTCGGTGGGATTCGAACACACGACAGTAAACCAAAGGCTTTAGTACAGCCAACACTATCCATCTGAGCTACGAGGCCCCGTCGGACGACGCGAGTTTAATCACATTTGGGTCGAGTTACCCGCCCAACCTACTGCAACATCTGGATCCACCAAAGCTGATACAGTAAGTTGACTGCTCAAGCAGTTGGGTCAATATGGATTATACAAAAAATCTGCCAAAACGTCTATGAATTACGCGAGCCTGGTAGTCATCTGGTGGATTCTGGGTGAATTACTTAGAAAATCCTGCTTGGGCAGTCAACTTACTGTATCAGATTTGGTGGATCCCAGACGCTACAGTAGGTTGGGCGAGTAACTTGACTCAAATGTTATTAAACTCGCGTCGTCCGACGGGCCTCGTAGCTCAGGTGGTTAGAGTGTTGACTGTACTGAAGCCTTCCCCTTTCTGTCGTGGGTTCGAATTCCACCGATGCGCCGAGTATTTCACAATTGGGTCAAGAGGAAAAGAGATTATGCTGAAAAGCAGCTGGCATGGAGGGAACATCACATCAGGAGAACGCATAAAGACACCCGAAGGTAGTCCTGAAATCATGACAAGTACTCCCGTGTAAAGTGGGCGGGCGCTGCTTACAAGTTCGATCCGCACTGGGTCATGACTTTTCGTACGCATAAAGTATCATGTTCTCAACGCCGGAATGTATCCACGTCAGATAACTGTAAAGTTCTTTGGCGTGATGCAAGTGTGTTAGAAAAATCGGCGGTCAGATAGGGCAAAAGTTCAGGAAAGATAACCGGATGGCGTAACGCCAGTATTTTTGGTGACACCCAATGCCAGGAAGAGTGAAAACGGTTTTGGTTGCAAAGTGTGACATTACTACTTCCCCGGGTACTCCGTTCCGGACACCGCCAACTCTCCATGTATCGTCGATGCCCGGAGGAGACTTCTTGGGAAAGTAATAGTGACGGATCCAACAAATACTTCTAAAAGAAAACCGGACGTATTGTTAGTCGAAGAATACCCCTCAACCGAACAGGAAAGCTCTGTATCACCAAACCATTGTCTTACACATATCTACAGCTAATGTGGATGACTACTATTTCCTATTAGGCGTTCTTCAGCACAGCTGATGGTGCCCGGATTGCAGTCCCACACGTTTAAAATAATACTATGCGAGCTGCATGTGTTACTGACAACATTGTAGTAGCGCTCGTATATTAACTCGAATATTGCATGTCCCGATTTCAATAGAATTTAATACACTGAACTACATTTGGTCGAGGCGGCTACGGAAGTTGTGGCAGTTACTCATGTAATCAGTTTCATGCACCGGCCCATTGACTGTGGTCTACCAAGTACTTTGTCACTTTGAATAGAGCAACAATCGCATGCAGTTTAGTACAAAGAATGAAGAATCCCGAACGATAAGGATTTCAGCTGATGCGTCCTGAAGTCACGCAAACGTCGATTTAGGCCACTTCTCTGCAGCCTCCGACGCCGATGGCTTGCGCAGTGAATAGTAGAGAACGCCAGCTGCAAGAGATTATCATCCGCCTTTCTTGTTTCTAATATTAATCACAATAGAAATCGGTCTTGAAAAAATGATCCAGTTCATCTTCGACCACATAAATCCTGCGGTTTGCGGACCGTGGGTTGAAAATCCGACCTGCTATCGTCTTTTCTAGGTTATGCAAATAAGTCTGCATGCTTTGGCATTACTTGTAACGTTTTTTGATTGCGTATTCTACAGTCAGACTCTCTTGGAATAATTTTACCTGTAAGCTCCAAAACTGGCGTGGGTTGGAAGTTAGAGAATAAATTTTAAAGCAAGATAGGCTAAATTAATACATGCAGAGGACAGAAAGAAACTCAGGCGAAGAACTGTACAATTGTATAATTTGCATACTAGAGACAAATTTGCTATAAGCCATTTCTTCCTTTAAATCCCTTCCCTCAAGTCGGGGCATGTGGTCGATGGATTTGTTCGGGAATTTCGCTGCGAAGACAAGGTACTGAAATACTTCAGCAAGCACATAAAGGAGGTGTGTGCTGATCTCAAGGTCAGTCCCTGCGGAGCCAACATTCTCCTCTCATTGCCCCAAAGACTTTCGATTGAATACCGCGAACGTCTCACTGAGGTTATCATCGAGGGTCTTGGTGCCAAGTCCGTGTTTTACGTACGTCAACCTCTGTTGGCAGCCTACTCTTCGGGTTGCACCGGCTGCATGATCGTGGATTCCGGCTACATGAATACTGGCATTTTGGCAGTCAACGATCTCCTTCCGATGGAGGACAGCGAACGTGTTCTGCCCCTGGGCGGACGAAATGTGGACCGATACCTGCGGCAACTTTGTGGCCACTCTCTGGACTCCTATGATGAGGCAGATCTAGATCACATCAAGAAGAACTACTGTTCGGTCGGCCCTGGTCAAATTAAACCGAAGGCCCCGGAGGCGGGCAAACGTTCCGTCCTCATGCCGGACGGTCAACGCCTATTTCTTGGCTCAGAACTGGAAGCGGCGCCTGAACTTTTGTTTAATCCCGCTCTAGCTGGTTTGCAGGACCTGATGCCGATTGATCAGGCGGCAATTCGTGCCGCGTTGGCGTTGGATCAAAACATATCCTTCACCGTGCTCGAAACTGTTGTTTTGGCTGGCGGAAACACCATGTTCCCAGGCACCAGTGAGAGGATGAAACTCGGCATAGCTACCCGAACAGTGCCGCGCATAAACAAACAAGTGCGATATCACCCGATGGGACCGCTGGCTGTGTGGGTCGGTGGTGCGGCTATTGGCCTGACAAACACTTATTCAAAGATATGTATTAGGCAGGAGGACTACAAAGAGGTAGGGGCGAGCATTGCCTCGCAAAGGTGGCTCTAGCTGAATGCCATCAATCTCAGGGAACGAAGCGCGCGAGAAAGATCTGCGTGTGGCGCTGTTTGCAGAACCTCACTCGCGTGAATGCACGCGCTCCTATTGTACAGTATTTTAATTAACTCGGAACTTGCTATTCACCCGATTTGGGGGTATTTTGATATTTATTTTGAACAGTTTTGCTGTATATCACCGCATAAAAGTAAAAAATGGAGAAAACGCACATTTTGAAAATACTCAGACTTGCATAAAAGCGTTTTTCTTCATTGTCATTCGCAAAAACACCTTCATTTTCCTTCGTCTTTGTAAGCAATTTCCTCTTGCATATTATATATATATGTAGATTAGAAATAGATGGAATTCCTTGTCCGAGCACAGAATCCCTTGTTTTAAACGGTTAATAAGTCAACCGTATAATTCAACTGTACATAACTCATAGTCTGAGGTCAGGTTGGGAAGCCTGCCTCAAAAAATTACGCAATAAAGTTACGTCAATTCCCGAAGAGTTAAACAACCTCCCAATTTAATCTTTAGGAGGTCTTTTTCAACATATGCATATATAGAGACAAAATGAGATTACCGGTAAAAACAGGGGAGACTGGGATGACAATTCCTGATTAACCATCGCCTGACAGTCTTACACGACCCCAGGTTTGGGGACACCTGAGAATCCAACCACGTTCTTGTGGCTATTGCATGTTAATAAGTCCATTGCTCTGAAGAATGATCCATGGGCTCGTTGGCCTGTCGGGCGCGATCAGGAATATCAAATGTTTTAGGAGCGGATTTACCTCTCGGAACGCACGTTCGTCCCTTTGTGCTATATGTGCATATGCGCACCTGAGTCACATACATCAGGGGCATGATCAAGTCTGCTTCATATCTGCTTAATGTGGGATTCGGCACTCAATTGTGCAAGCTGAACATGCGTCTGTTGCCCTCCGGAGACAGGTACTGTTTGCTCGACTTCATTCCAATTTTGTCTGATTTTTGCGGCTTGGCATCAAACGCGTTTCCGGAGTTTTCTGTTAGCGCTCAAGTAATCAAGGTAAATCTGTCAAGCTCCGTCCAAACCACTAAGCCAATATTTATAGTATAAATAACGTCGTTTTTAAAAATCACTTGCTTTTCGCTTTACACAGAAGGCAGTCACATAATGGATTGCTTTTTACTAGAAAAAACCGAATATTGAGGCAGGAATGGATTATCTGAGTTCACTACAGGGATGCCCCGAAGCAGTATTTTTGAAATACTAGTATCCTGAAAGAAGTTTTAAGAGGAGAGAGCGCCATTTTACGGTCAATGCTCTCCCTGTAACCTACAAATCTGTGGTTTCCACTAAATTCCTTGAGATATTTTCTTATCTAGGTGCCGCAGGAATGGATGTCTGGGTTAGATGTTTCATTGAGATAAGCAGACTGACATACGAGAAAACTGATGAGTGCTCATAGCGCGCAACAGTTTCTGGGTACACCTTAAGTTACATTGATATGCAACGCTGGTGTGTCCTTTGAAGTTCACTTTCACGCCGACGACCTTGGAGTCACAGGGGCTGCGTTGGGACGTGTGGACACACGTGATTATCTTTTTGAAATGCCGGCAATAAGAAGTACGCAAGTGCCAAAAATGAAAATTTATTTCAACCTCATACTTAAGGGCTATTTTACAAGACGATCTAAGCAGGTTTCTGCAGGATCAAGCCATTCTAGGGGAGACTAGATCGGGCTTTTAAATTTCCTCAGAAGTTAATTGTTAACTTGGAGTAGATCAGCCTAGTGGAGACCTGTAGGCTCAGATTGAGATTGGATATGAATATTTGGGCCGAAATCCGTCGTCACGGCAGAATAACGGCGTAATATTCAGAAATCGCAAAGAGGCAGCCAGTAACATAGAATTGTGTAATTACCTACAATGCTGACAACACGGGTACTAGTCAAAAGCCAAGACACGCGTGTTTCGTCGATCTTTTGCTGCTGCCCGACGCGGGTGCGAGGGGGTCGGCTAATCAGCGGATCCCCCAGCCTTCCCCGTGCGTTTTCGGGTAATATGAACTGCAGTTTCGTCTTCTCTTGTTTACTTTCCGAGGAAACTGATGCACGAACGCGAAGCAAATGCTTCGGAACAGGCCTTTTCATATACCAGTAAACACACGGGGAAGACTGGGTGACCCACTGATGAGCCGAACCTCTGACAGCTGCGTCAGGCAGCTACACAGGGTCGGCGAGGCACCCATGTCTGGGCTTTTGGTTAGTGCCTGTGTTGTCAGTATGGTAAATAGTTGCACAATTCCATACTACTGGCCGTCTGTTGGCGGTTTGTGAATATTACGCGGCTATTCCGCAGTAGCTGATAGATTTCAGTTAAAATATTTATATCAACTTGCAGACTGTGCCTGAAAAAAACTGCTTCGGAGAATTAACTCCAATTTCGCGCATTAATTTCCTCGAAAAATAAACAGGGCATAGCACGATATACTATAAGTGGGCTAACTCGTGAAATGTCAACCGAAATTCCGTAAGGCTTTTTCGTTCCAAAAAGATTGATTAAGTAGGGTTGTAAAACTAGTCCGCCTACAGCATAATTCACTAATATTTCAGTTACCTCAGGATGCCGACTTTCGAATGAACTTCCTTCCGGCCGCATGCAAAAACTGCATTCTGTAACATGACTACATAAGTGGCAAGCATTTTCCTCATTGGTCTTCGATGCCCCTAAATGTCCAGTTATATTTTCTGGAAAACATGCATAAAAATATTCACCCTTTTGCTCATTCGGTAGAAAATTACGTCTTATTCTAATCTTGGGCTCGAAGGAAGGGTATAATTCGGTTTTCAAAAGCTTTTTCATTTCCCAAATAAAATTGAACCCGCTCTACCGTTATACTCGCATTCGGGATTTCAAAACTACAAGCCGCATATTTTCCGCGTACGGAAAACCACACACTTCTCTACGGTGATAAAGGGGAACCATATAGGATTCATGAAATTAAGCAGTGGATTTGATCCATATTGTTAACTTTACGAGCCACATCAGTAAATGCAGAGAGACGACGATTTATGAACGGCCATTTCACGGTATTAAAAAGGCCTACAATTAGAATCATTTTTAAACTGAATGCTGCACCTCCTTCGAGCATAAAATAAGACGAAGAAGTAATTTTCTGCCGAATGAGCAAAAGAATGAATATTTTTATGCATACTTTCTAGGCAATATAATTTGACTTTTGGGGCATCGAAGATCAATGAGAAAAATTCATGCCATTTATGTAGTCCTTTTTTACAGAGTGTAGTTTTCACATGCAGCCGGAAGGACGTTCATTTGAAAGTCGGCATCCTGAGGTAACTGAAATATTAGTGAATTATGTTGTGGGCGGACTAGTTTTACAACCCTACTTAATCAATCTTTTCGAAACGAAAACGCATTTAGGAATTTCGGCTGACATTTCACGAGTTAGCCCACCTACTGTACTGTGTTAGTCACATACAGTACCATACTTGACAGCACAGCTACTGGCTAAAAGACCACACACGTTTTCTACAACTGCAGGAAACAACTGCCAGGAGTTCATCTTATCAAGGGCCTATATGTCTCAACCAGACTGATATACTCCAAGCTAGTGATTAATTTCACAGGAAACTAAAATGCTGCAATTTCCAAACTGGCATATCTACTGGCATAGTTTCTACTTGTGAGATTTTTTAATATTGTGAAATGGCCGTTCATAAAACGTCATGTCACGGCATTTACCAATGTGACTTGTTAAGTTATCAATATGGCTCAAATCCACTGCTAAATTTTATGAACCCCTTGTGGTCTTCTCTTAATGCCATGGAGAAATGTATGGTTTTCCGTACGCGGAAAATATACGGCTTGTAGTTTGGAAACCCTGAATGCAAGTGCAACTGTGAGTGGGGTTCAAAATTACTGAGAAATTGGAAAAGGTTTTGAAAACCGAATTATACCCTTCCTTCGAGTATAAAACTAGAAGAAGGCGTAATTTTCTACCGAATGAGTGAAAGAATGGGGATTTTCAAGCATGTTTTCTATGAAATCTAATTAAACTTTTAAGAGCATTGAAAATCAATGAGAAAAACGTGTGCTACATAAGTTGTCATTGCTTACGAGGTACAGTTTTAAAAGGCGGACAGAAAGAAGTTCTTTTGAAAGCCGGCTTCCTGAGGTAACTGGATTATTATAGAATCATACTGCATGATGATCAGTTTTACAATCCTTCTTACTTAATACTTTCGAAACAAAAACGCATTTGAAATGTTGGCTGACATTTAATGAGTTAGTTCACCTACTGTAGATTGAATACTGAGCAGCTCGTGGGTGTTTCTTTGATTTGGTCATATGTCCTGTCATTGAAAGTCAAAAAATGTACTTTGGTAGATTACGAAGAGTTGCATCAGGGGCTGGATTTTTAGGGGCTCCATCGTTTCGTCGTGCTATAATCGCCTAATCCATTTGTAATTTCTTAATTGCTTCTAATTCTACGGGTGGCATATTGCTCGCGTGCCTCTATAACATCAGGAGAAAAGTGATCTTTTGACGCACAATGTGTTTAGTCTCATCGGTTACGTCAGTTCGTACGAACGTGGCCTCAAAGACAGCAATGAGGTCGGCTGGTGTGGCATCAGCAGTGTTAAAATTGGCTTCATCACTCGACACTGAATTCCAATTCGCTTAACTTCTTCGACAATAAGTTGTTTACCACATTCTCGTTGGTTTTCACTTTAGATTTTAATTTAACGAACTTTTGGTCTATTTTCTTGCGACTTTCTTCCTGTATCGCTCTTACTAGCGTTGATATTGTAAGCAACGGATTCGCCAAGTAATGACGCGCACTCTATCCTTTTTTATTTAATAACAGTTGGGTACTCGTGGAAGCGCAGGTAGCAATCATTGATCGGCATTCTCATTATTTGCCCACGACAGAGTTGTACAACGTTTCTGTCCGCTTTTGTATTCATTGGCGCTTCGTAACGAGGGCTCTTTGGTGTCAG